TTATACCTTGAATAACCAATCTACCATCGTGTTACCTCACCCTCCTGTGGATGTTTTGTGATGTTTTTTCTCTTCATCTGTTTGATATGCATGTGACTCTTTGGTCAGGTACAGACATTACACTTTTACTGATATAAGTGGTAAGAAACTAGTCTATACTTGTAACAGAACAGAAGTTTGCCACACACAGGCTGGTTAAAAATGGCAGAACCCAGTCTAAGAACCCAACCAAAGAGCAAATGTGTGTACTGTTACTGATCTAAACTACGCTATTTGCAGAAAATTGCATAACTTAAGACTGATTCTGCCTCAGGCTCTTTGAATGTCTGTACCTAGCTTTGTTGTTACTCTGACTGATGCAATTGTTTCTGTGATCCTTCACACTTGTGTATTTATTCCCATTTGTTAAGGATAAGCTCAAGCAAAAAAATTGCTCTCTAAATAACTTGATTACATTATTATAGATTGATTTCTATAGTTTGTTGTAAGTGTACTTAGAGATGTGCACATGAGAGATGTGCGCCAAACACAAACCAGGTTCCCTGTCCAAAAGGCTGAATGTAGCAACACAATACAGCACTATCTTCAGTGAGTCCTGGAAGGCCTCAGTTTAACTCATTGACCATTCATATGGTGCTCAGGACCTCACATGATCAATGCCAAAAGCTAGTTTGCTGAGTGGAACAACCCAATTAGGAGTGAATTTTAGATACTACATTTTGAATGATTTAAAATGATGTATTTGAATTAAATCTTCATCAGATAAACACTCCATGATAAAACAACTGATTACCATTTAATATAGGAGATAATACTAAGAGCTGCCAAATTAATGTCGATAAAATAAGAACCAATCTAAATAGTTGCCTTCATATTAAAAATGAAACAGAAACAAACACTGCCTGATGTTCAGAACTATTCAGGATACCATCATTTTCTACTGATGTGTTTTAAACTTTGTAGATGTGGAAAGAACGTATATCACTAGAATAGGAGTTCTCCAGGTTTTTCTATCCTGGATGCACTATTATTTTTATTATTCTACTCATGTACATGGAAGGCCAGTCTCATGAGTCCACAAGTGTTAGTTGTTTTTTAAAGAGACAATATTAAAGCCAAAAGTTCATTGTATCCTGGTGTGAAGAAAAAATAGGAAGCATACCAAGAGACCTGCTAGGCTAAATCATGAGTTCCTCATCTTTTGAGATAAGAAAAGGAATCTTAATAAAAAAGTGCAGAGATGTTAATCTAAAGTCTGGCAGATGGTACAGCAGGGTACCACCTTAGAAATTGTAATACTCCCTAAGATGCACTCTGCTCTATCTTCTTCCTTAAAACTGGAAAGGTGACCATACATATTAGTAAGGATGAGTAAGCAAGAGAATATGATCATGTAGGGACAAAATCAGAAATGCCAGGTCACAACCTGAAATGCAGCTAGCAAAGGATATAAGTGGCAATCAAAGAAGTATTCTAAAAATATTCATTAGAAGTGACAGAAAGATGGTTACTGAATGGTTAGGGGAAAACAAATAATGAACAATACTGAGAAGGCTGATGTGTTTAATCTCCCTTTAACTTTAGTCTTCACAGAAAAGGCCAATAAGTAATATCCAGAACAGGGAATAGGATTTTAGCTTAGAACAGGGAAAGAACAAATTAGGGTGCTGCTACAAGTCACCTCTAAAATATTTTAAATCTGTGGAATGTTATACTGTCATGAAGTTAGAACAGTTTCAGAGCAGTCATTCATTAAGGCTCAATCATGTCAGGCCCTCACAAATGTGAGTTGCCACTAGAGAGTCTGGTGGGCAGGGACATGTACAAGAGCCAGGGCTCTATCCCTTCCCTGGGGTGGGAGAAGATAGGGGAAGGTGGCATGTTCTTTAGCATACTGTGACTTCCCTCTGGGGGCAGAACTGTGGCATCCTTCATCCTTCACTCTGCAGCCAGAGCTATGGGCAGGAGGGAGAAAGTCTTGAACAGGCAAGGCAAAGAAGTAAAGAGAAAAGAGTGAAAAAAATAATAAGAATGGTTATTATTTTAAAAAATAAAGGACAAAAATCTTGAATGTGTTTCACTGAACTGGGTTTGGGTCAAGCAAGAATTGAATTAGCACTCAGACCAGGGCAGAGATGAGACCCAGTGGGCTTGCTGCATGCGTATTCTACTCCCTGGGGGCAGAAGATGAGTCTTGGCTTGGGGCCACCATCATGCCCTAGACAGGAGAATTCAGGAGGGTCAAAAGTTTGCCCATTGAATAAAGGAATGGGAAGGAATGGGAATGGTTCATCCTAGGATGCTAAAAGAATGAAAACAGCTTCTTTTGCTTTTCTCCCAGGAGCAGGCCAGCAATACTCTGCAACAACCTGGGTAAAATAGATCAAAGATAACCCTGATTTACATTGGCATAATTTAAAAACATTTAGAGGGAACTCAGTAGGGATTAACCCCTTTAATGGGTGAATGCTCCTGTTTTAAGTGCATTTATGATGTAACACCACACTTAAAAAGTATTTACATAAAGCAAACATTTTCAAGTCCATAAGACCTGATGAAATCCATGTTAATATTAGTCAATGAATTGGCTAATATAATTGTAGAGCCATTGTCTATCATCTTTGACTCATAGAGGTCAAGTGAGGTCTGAGAAGACTAGAAAGGGGCTCAGACCACCATTAAAAGAGAGGGAGAGAGAGAAAAGAGAGAAAGACAGAGAGAACCTAGGGATTACAGGCCATTCAGTCTAACATTGATATCTGGAAATATATTGGAACATACCATTCAGACACATGTTGTAAGCTCCTAGAGGATAAGAAATTGATAAGAAAGAGCCAACATAGATTTATCAAGAGAAATGTGTATCTGATCAACTGGTTTTCCATCTTTGATTACATGATGGGCCTTGTAGATGGGGAGAGGAAGAGGAGCAGGCAAATCTGATTAGATATATCTTGAATTTAGGCTTTTGACATCCTGATATTTTTATCAGGCAAATAAATAGGATCTACCCTTTACTGTAATATATATATATACATCGCTGCTTGGATACTTATGTTCAAAGAGTAGTCATCAAGGGTTCAATGTCAAAATGGGATAAGACGTCAAGTGAAAGTTCACAGGATTCTGTCCTGGGGGGAGTGGAGAGGAAGTTGAATATGAGTTAATAGATAACATTATTGCATAAATACCTGGATAGGTTAACCAGGGTTTTATAGCATATTGGGATGTGTTAGCAGGAAAATGTTATTCTGCAAGTCAGGAGGAGGGATTATTTCATTTTATTCAACACCAAGGAAGCTATTACACTATTATATGTGTAAATAGTATGTCCAATTTGGGGCAGCACTTTTTAAGACATGTACAAATTAGAAAGAATCCAGAAGAAAACCTAAATGATTAGAAATTCAGAACAAATGACAAATGAGGAAATATTGGAATTTCTTACACTAGAAAAAAGAAGACTGAAGGGGATATGAAAGTTCTCTTCAAATACAAAAACTTTTACTATAAATACAATGGCAAACAATTGTTCTCTGAACACATAGGGGACAGGACAAGAAGCAATGGGTTTAAATTGCAATAAGGGAGATTTCATTTAGAGACAAATAAAAACTCTCTAACTGTGAAGTTGGTTAAGTACTGGAACAGATTACCTGTAGAGATTGTGGATTCAGTGTCACTAGAAGCTTTAAATGCAGGTTAGACAAATGTTTGTTTGGGAAGGTTTAGACAAGGAGTGTCCCTGCCTTGAGCCACAGTTGGATTAGATGACTGCTTGAAATTCCTATGTTACTATAATTCTGTAATTCTATGTATCATCTATAATGGTCTTAGCATTTACCAAACAGATATGAAGACATAGTATGATTAAATAAGATTATATTTTCTTTAAAATGGAATAGGAAAATTCTTACTATATGCATATCAGTTTCATAGACTCAGCAGATCCAGTAATGCACAATTTTTTAAGATTCATTAATGATTAGCTATTTTAACTATGGGTACTCTTACATATACTCCAGGAGTGGAGGGGCAGCACTTTAATTAGAGTGGCTCTGAGAGCTGTTCTAATTAAAGCGTCAGAGCATCTTATGCATCAGCATCCCTGAGCTTAAAAATAGTGATAGGGGTTCTTGAACTAAAGCTTATTTGACAAGCTGCTCCCACTGCCAATTTTAAACACACGGATGTTGATACACGAGATGCAGGAGTCTGCTGGAGCATGGTAATTAATTACCATACTCCAGCAGATTCAACTAATTGAGTGTGCTCCAACACACTGTAATTACAGCACACCAGAGTAGCCTCCCCACTTGTGTACAGGCACCCAATGATTCTAAAACTTCTGAATTTTATCTATTACTAAGGCCCTGCCATTATCTTACATTTAAGACATGATTAACCAATTAAACACATCTTAAGCTGTGATCCGCTCAATTAATGGCATCTTAAAACAAGGAATAAGCTATGAAATTACTCTATAAAAAATGTGTAATAACTGTATGGTTTGTGCCTATCATACCATTAATTGAATGTGTGGCCAGGTGTATTCCCACAGCTTGAAGCCCAGTTCTTTCTGTTCTTCTCCAACAACAAGTGTGTGGTCGCTTGCAAGGATGGTAGCGAACAAATTGTTGCTCAGTTGGAGGCAGAGAGTCATGAGGCGCTCATTAATGACAACAGGGAATTTGGTTATTTGACTGATAAACTGGCAAAACCAACATTGTGTATTTGCCTGTTGTTTGCAGGTTCTCTTTTCCAGAAGAACATATAGCTACCCATTTCCTCCCTTAGATGGCCTTCATCTGCATGTTTGCTTTCACTGAGAGCAGGAATATCAATGTTTTATTGTGAGAGTACTTGGGTGATGATAGCTGTTTTATGTTCAGGTCTGTCATTGTTTGGGTCATTTAATAGGGTTCATACATTCCCAGATGCAAAGAACATTTTTGTGTTTTGCCCACAATGGATCCCCTTGGAATTGGCTATCCAGTCAGGTAAGATAAAATGGGATGGGCTATGTTTGGTGCACCTTCTAGCCCCCTTCTCATGTGAGGTAAGTAGAGGGAATCCTAAAAAAGACTGCTCAGTCATGATCCCAGCTGCCAAATCACCCTCTTGTCTCATTCCTAGGGTGAAGCAAGTAACACGCAACTGCCACTTGCATGTGGATCCATGACTAGGGACTCTGGCAGTCGCTTTGTCTGTCCCTGTCACCACTCATCTGTAACTGCAGGACTTTGTAGAGGTTATGGGTATTTGTGGTTAAGTCCGGTGGGAGAAGCCTGCAAATGACTTGTTTTATGTGAGGTGGTCATTGTACATTGGCAACTGCATGGATCTTGGTGGAGAAGAAACCTATGTCCAGTGGTAAGGAGATCCAAGATGACTGGAGTTACTCTACTACTGCAACCTTCATCAGCCTTCATACCTGTAGAGAAGTATGCCTTCTTCATCCTTATGCTCCACTGTGAGTTCTTTATGTATGCTGAACTACTCTTTATCTGATACCTCACCTCTGACCCTACTGTCACAGGTGACCCTACCAGGAATACAAGACTCCCAATGCTCTTGCTCTTAGGGTCATCACTACATGCAAGTATCTCCACCCCATGAAGGCGGCAGTCCATGGAAAGGATTTTGGAAGCCATCCAGTTTTTAGTGGAAGACTGCAAGTGGTGGGAAATCCCTGTCAACAACTACTTAATTACTCTCCCAGTAAAACAAAATTAAAAAAAAAAAAAACACCCTATAATTCTAATCTGAATTGGTTTAGCTTCCACTTTTGGCTTTGCTAGATTCAATAGCCTTATTGGCAATTTCTGTTTCTCTTGTATGTGACCAACATGGTTCATAATCTTCTTTTGTATAAAAGATAGCTTAAGACTCCTTTTTAGTTTTCAGGTCTCAAACCATGTTATTGCTTCTTAAATTACATAAATAGAGACAATATTAAAATAAAATAGCAGCTCCATCACTGAGTCAAGGTAGTCTTGCCTCATGTCTTTACCATGATCAGATGGTTGTAGGTTCTTTCCCCTACTCCAGTGTTAACCTCATATATTTTCTTTCTTTCCTCCACTATTTCATTATTTCATAGACACTATTTTAAATGGCAATTTTTAGTGCTGATAATTGTTATGGAAGATAGAGGTTTGGTGCCTGGAAGTCACAAAAATAATAAATTTGTTTCATTTGAGACACTCCTGAATTGCTATTAAATGGATATGAACTGATCTTAGTTGTACTAGAGTGACCCTAAAAATAAGATGCAGCTTCTCAGTTTTCTACCTGCATAAATAAATCTTCACAAACTGCAAGCATGTTAATATTAGACATAGAAGGAGTTTCTACATGTGCTCCAGGTTGTGGGGGGGAGAGGGGCAGTTTAATTAGAATGGCTCTGAGAGCCATTCTAATTAAAGCACCTGAAGAGTCATGTCTACCAGCATCCCCACACTGAAAAATGGTGGTGGGGGTACTCATTTAATAAGCTTTAGTTAAAGCACCCCCACCATTTTTCTGTGCAGGGAAGCTGATACACGTGATGCTGGAGTCTGCTGGAATAAAGTAATTACCATGCTCCGGCAGACTTGATTAATCGATTCTGCTCCAATGCATTGTAATTAGAGTGCATAGGTGCCTAGAATGTTCTACATATCACTACAGGGCTGATAACCCAACACAGGCTTCTACTCCTGCTCTAGTTGGGGGGGGGGGGAGAAAGGGGTTAAGGGGGGGGGGGACCTTTAAGCTGGGGGGCAGGGAGGTTGCGGAGTGGGGGGGGGGAATGGGGTAAGGGGGGGGGGGCCCATGAAGCTGGGAGGCAGAGAGGTAGCGGTATGGGAGTGGGTAATGAAATGGGAGGTGGAAAGGCAGTGGGGATATGGGAATGGGAGGTAAAATGAAGGAAGTCAGCCACTGAAGGATTAGATTTAAAAAAATAATTTAAAAACAGGAAGTAAATTAAACAAGGTCTGACATTTTAATAAATTGAGATTTGGGATTGGAGTGTTTGTACAGGGAGTGGGGTGTCTGGGAGATGGGAGCAGTGAGGGAGGGTGCATTTGAGGAAGCAGCTGCCCCTGCCTTGTGAAGGAAGCCCCAGTTCATGGGGAACTCATCCAGTCCTCTGCCTTATTCCTCACCAGCTTCCCCAGACTCTACTCCTGGACCTATCCATGTCCTGTGATCTGGCTAGCTGGCATGTGATCAGCAGGCTGTTTGTATGGGATTGCCATCCCAGGGGTGGGCAGGTCACACCCCTGGGAGTGGGAGAGGGAGTTGGTTTGGTGTCAGAACCACTCCCTGGGAAGTATTGTTTAGGGGGTGGAAAATTTGCTCACACAGAACAGGAGTGTGGGGGAGGAGGGTGGTTTATCTGTGGGGAGTGGCTATACATAAGGGAATATAAATTAGGTAACATGGACCAGAGATAAATCTGCCCTGGAGTGGCGTAACTTTAAGCCACCTAAAGTATGTTTAAAACTAGTTTTAGGTGTTAATGTGTGGACAATCCAGGAATTAAGAGCTCCAGGATCCAAGAGCTCTATAATAAAGAGTTTGTTATATGTTACACTGTGAGCTGAGCAAATGTTAGCAGTCCCCTGCTCCCCCCCGTCCTAGAGGCTCCCCTGCTTCTCCTTGGTGTTCTCTCCTGCCCCCCACCCCCGGCAGCTTACTTGTGGCTGCCTGCACTGTCTGTCCTGGGGGAGAAGGGAAGATTGACCTGCCTTTCTGGCTGTTGCTGTCACCACTGCCAGGCTGCTGCTCTTCACTGGGCTGAACCTAGCCCTGTGAGCACCAGCAATGTTGGCTATAGTTGGGCAGGCAGGTAAGCCCTTCCTTGCCTGCTTCCCCAATACATGTAGCACAGAGAGCCACAATTAAGGGAGGAGGGGCAGAGGGGCAGTGAGCAGAGGTCTGGGATGCTGGGTAGCATGTGGGGGGGCAGGGGGGGAGCAGTGGCCAAATCCAGGCCAGGGGGAGAGGAGGGAAAGTCAGGTGTTTACACAAAGGTGTACCCTAGCATGGATACACCTTAATGTAACATGAGCTAGGTAACACGGATTAGAGATAATCCTGGCCTGGAGTGAAGTAATTCTTAACCATATAACAAGTGCTTAAAACTAGTTTCAGGTGTTAATGTGCAGACAATCTAGGTGTTAAGAGCTTCAGGAGCTTCCCAAAATTACCTTGTAACAAGATGCTAAATAAGTGCACTTACTCAGATGAACCATCTTAGATTGGGCATGCCATTTTTGGGGTGATTTAAGCCCTCTGCATACATACATGATTGGGCATTTAGACTGACCCAACCCTGGTTATGTTGATCTAAATGTGATGCTTGTACAAAACTTATAGTATTTTTTTTCAGAACTGGTAAAATAAAAGAATATGAAAGAGAAATAGGATTCTTCCTATGACAATAAATAATTAAATACAAAAAAGTTACAGTTCACAACTGGGAAATGGCGGACAGCTCTCTGAACCCCAACAGTATTGAGAAATCCAGAAATCATTAGCAATTTAAGGTCTTTAGAACATTATAGGATTATATTTTGTGGGTAAGGACATTTAAGAACTAACCTCTGCATCGTTTCTCTTTTTCCATTTCCAAAAAGTCTTTACTTTGTTGTTAAATTTCATCACAATTGTTTAAGTTTATTTGGGGTTTAAATTCAGACCTTTTTACTTTGACTAATAAACAAAGACAAGAAAAGGCATGCAACCAGCTGGAATCGTGCAATTGCTTCTGCCAAGTTTGGCAAAATTCCCTCTCATACCATGCAACTTAGTTGCTCTGGCCCAGATGCTTCTTTTTTGTGCAAAATACGGAGGCTGAGCAAAGGGGTGAGCAAAATGTTATCAAAAAATGCAGTCTTCCAAATGGTAAAGAATATGAAGGCTTTACAGCATTACCACCCCCCACCCTATCCATCCACAAAATTTGAGTACTTGAGACCAATGTGATTGAGACTGGGGGTTAGGAAAATGACTGATTAACGCAGGGCAGATTCACAGTTTAGCTACGTTATAATAAATGATTTGAGTTGCACACTGGAATTGCAACATGCTCTGTGTGTTTGTAATTCACCCTCACATAAAAGGAAAGCAGGTAGTCTTGGAGAAGAAGCCATTGACAGTGAGACTAACAGCATGACACCTGAGAAATGGGCAACTTTTTTTTTTTTGTATTAAACATTGTTTTGTTAAAAATACTTATTTGTATTGGCCAAAACTATACAAATAATTGATACTGCAGTCTGATTTTCTGTAGTTCTGTATGTTTAAAAATAAGCCTAGAATTATGAAGGTAGATCATCAATGAGGTGATGACAGAGGCATTGAATGGGATCTCAGACGAGGAATCGAATAGGGCTTTAAAACAACTCTTTTTTTTCTGTCTGAACATGGAAAGGTTGATGAGGTAACTTAGTAATGTGCTGACAGAATTGGTACTTTGTCTGAAATGGTGATTTTCTTTAGGGCTGGAAGAAATAACAAAGTTTGAAGAAGACAAATAAACTATACAGAGCTACAACACAGGAATCATGATGGGCTAAGTTAAAATACTTGTGTGTTGAACAGTCACTAAAGCCCTGAATCAGCAATCTAGTCCTATTAAATAGAACACTTACACACACACTTAAGTACCATCCTGATTTAGAGACCAGTTTTTACTACTCAGTTGAAATATTTTTGCAAGCTAAAGCAGCTTTTAAACAAAGGAAGGTGATTTAAGCTAGCAAATCTAAACAGAGTTTGCCAAACTCTACCATTTTAAGATCCCATTACATGTTTCCAGTACTTTAAAACTAACTTAATCTGTCTACCCTGATGATCCCCACCCCCTTGTTCCCTAAGCATGTGCTGCTTTTTTATGCACTTTGTGCATTTTTAATTACGATCTTCTTTTAATTCTTAAAACATGCTTTTGGCCAAGACATATTTTCTCTTGTGGTCTCTCCCAGTGATCTAATTTGTCTTTTTCTGACAACAAGCACAC